TAGCATTGCGCTTTCTTACAGATATTCTTTCGCTTTTTACTCTTAATTTTTTCTATTGCTAAATCTTTTATGACGATAATCTTACTACTAGATTCTCAATACTTTTGAATTTCTTCCGTTAGAATATGCTAAGTTCATCGGAAAATATATTACATCTCACACGTTGTAAAGGACTGAACTTTTACCATTTGCGGCAATCTATACTATCTGAAAATAATTGTAATCTTATTTTTTTGCAACAGCGCAACTTTTCATTAATCATTTGAGCCATTTACGTTTGTTTTGTATTCATTCATACGTATTATACTACTTTATTGCTCGACTTCAATCATCGCCAAGCTCTGCTTCTTATTCTTATGTATAAATTCTCTTTTAGTCCACTTCCTGATGGTATTATTTGACTATGGATAATCAAGGTGTTAATTTACCACCGTTTCTTCATTATAGATTTTTATCGATTTTAAGGAATCTTCATCACCATTGGGCATAGAAAAAAGTAAAAACAACGTGCAATTTAGTAGCCCCTTTCATTAATCATTCTCGTGGATTAGACTCCCGTAAACTGTATATTAAATCTGTAATCTGTACTATCTGAATTCGAGGGTAAAACATATCCTGCGCCTTAACTATGCAGGTCCATGTACTCCCCATTTCTCAATATTTTCACAACCTCCAGTTTTACTATTTATTATTTTCTCTGCTTCCCCACACTTTTTACCTACTCTTTATATCCTTATTCTTTCGTCGCTTTTAAGGTGCTTGACAGTAAAAAAGGACCTGGGCCAAAACATATGAAAGAAATAATGAAACGGTTGCGTCGGCGTGAGGCTCGCACTGCTGCCTTGAGTGGCCTGCCCCCTGCTTCCGCCTCAACATCTACAGTAGCTGCTACTGGATTGCTTTATCAGAATAGTCTTCCAATGACCACTTGTCCTGGTTCCAGCACTAGTAATCAGAGCAACACGGGCTGCAATGCAGGGGGCAATCATAGTGATAATAGAACTCGTCAGACTTCGGCTTGGCGAACTCGTGGTGGTCGAGCAACTGCAACTGCTCTTGCTGCTAGTGGCACAGCTGGATATAACAGCGATGCCAAGCCGGATCCCCAAAGCAACAGCTTAAATGGCCTGCTTTCTGCGCACAAAGGATCTTCAGCAAGAAACAGCAGTACTTCGTCCAAAGCTCATTCCCGGACATCGGCATTGTCATCAGGCAAGCGTGGCTTTTAGAAATTTAAACAGTCTGAAGTCATGGAAATTTATGTAGCTTATACATTTTTACTCTTGATTCCGATATACTCTTAATTTTAAAAATACAAAGAATGTGAATCAAAGAGTCACTATAT